CCCCAAAACCCCAAAACCCCAAAACCCCTCTAGTATTAATTTCTTGAATTAATGATATTTATACATTTAAATTAATTTATAGAAATACTTTTCAGATATTTATAATTTATCCAGCTGTAGTTTTTTTAGTTCCATATTTTTTGTAGCTTTGCTTATTCTTTCTTTTGATGTTATGCTCCTTTGGTTCATTTTTAAGTAGTTTTGAAATAGGAGAAATTAAATTTCCTGTATTAGAATTAATTCCTGCCTAATAAAGTATTCCAGAATTTTACACTGATTAATTTCCTGGATTTGCATTATTTTGAATAAGAATTGTACAATCAATTTAAGTTTGATTAAGCTTGCCATCTGCCATCATAAGATAAGAATTATTGTTTATATATGCGGTGTTTGAAACTTAAGGTGGCCCCGTTTAGATTTAGTTTAGGACTATTTATTTGAAATTTGAAAAGTTAATTTTAAGCAACTCTGGGGGATTCTGATTGTTAAGAGCAATCGACTAATTAAGATTTTATGGAGATCTCTGACCTCCTCCATTAAGATATTCTAGTGCTTGTTCAATAATTGATTTGCACTGGTCTATTTCTATCTTTTTGCTACAAAAAGCATGAAGATCCTTCACTGATATGTAATTATCTCCATCAACATCGAAAATATTAAACAGCTTTATCAGCTTTTAAGAACTTAGTGACTTGGAAATGTCTAAGGTACCAATTAGAAATTGAGTAAAAGTGATACCATGCAGTTTTTCAAGATCTAATTTAGCCACAGTACGTTTTTATTGTTATAATAAAATTTCCAGGTCTTCTTCCTTATTTATTCTCTATGCGAATTTGAGAAGATCTCTTTCATTCAGATTCGCAACATGCCTTGAGTCCATATAGGAGTAAAATTTTATGAACTTGTCAACATGGGAATCAAACGAAAAATATCGGATGGCATAATTTAAACAAAGCATTCTTAATCTACATCCTGGCTAAAATGCTTCTAAAAGCCTTATAGTCTTAGCAATTTAATGCATATCGATTCTAAAACTCCCATCTATTTTAGTTAGCATTTTTATCCATGGAGATTGAATGCACTAGAGTAGGCTAAGTCTAGTGACAACATTAGTCTCAATCATTTATTTGATAAGATTTTTAGCTCTTCGAGATACTGATTTCCATTAATTTTCCTCAAAATTAACTTGATTTTTCAGTACTTTATCCAAAATTTCCTATTCATCTTTTCCTCTAAAAGGAGCCTGACCACTAAGAAGTATAAAAAGAATAACACCACAGGACCAAACATCACATTTCATTATTTACTCTTCTTTGTTAATAATTTCAGGAGCCACGTAATATGCTGTCACAATTCTATTAAGATTTTTAGTTTAGTTATCAACATAAACTGCACTTCCAAAATCTATAATCTTAATTTGCAATGTATCTTCCTAAACAAATAATATGTTTTCAAGTTTCATATCTCTATGCACAATATTCTTTTAAAAGCAATAATTTAGGGCTTAGAGCACCTATTTCATTACATAAGCAGCCTCTCTCTCACCGAATCTATTTATAGCCTTCAACCGATCAAATAAACTTCCACCCTTAAGATACTCCATAATTATATATACATTTAGCTCATCCTGAAAGTACTCATAAACCTAAACTATGTTAGGGTGATCTAACTATTTAAGAATCTTGATCTCATCAAATACAGATGAGACTATTTTTTCTGAATTTTTCTTGATTATTTTCATTGCTCTAATTTAATCAGTTGCAAGATGCATAACCATAAATACTTCTCCACATCCTCCTTATCCTATTTTCTTGATGCTTTTATAATGTTGAGTATAGTTATTACCTTCACTCACAAAGAGATTTTAGAAGGATATAACCTAATTTCTGGCATTTTCTGCAACTTAAAATGCTTTTCTTGACAGTACATTTTTGTGTTTTCCAATCCTAGATCTTGATATATTTCCGATTGTTTTAGTTTTCTTGCCAATAGGCATATTAGAAGAATTCAATGATTTTATGTTGTTGTCATAAATCTAATCTTTATATGAATCCATGCTCAAACCCAAAGTATTACTCTCTTCATCTTAACTTTATGCCACTGCCATAACAAATCCTATGCCTTATCCAGGCGGCTAAATGCTGCCACTTCTAGCCATTTTCAATATTGGTCTTGCTCTACCACTTTTCTTGGGACTTTGCATCTATTGAACTGTCATCTAATTTTATGATTGCATCTAATTTTATAATTATTGTTGTTATTACTTTGTTGTTCTTTTCTTTGATTTCTTTTTATTATTAGGATTTTTATTTAGTATCTTTTAACCGAGTTTATTCTAATCGAATCTATCATCTTTAGTTTCCTCGATATTTCTTATCTTACCTAGTTGCTTACTTTTATCTTTTCTTTTTTATCAAGGCAGTACACATTCAGATTTAATTTTTGTAAGCAAGTTAGCTGAAGTTTTATATTTCTTATTTGGGGAACCTTCATGATCCATCTAATCGTCTGATTCACAATTAAATTCCTTTCTCATATTTTCATTATGGTTTCGTTAATTTAAATTCATTCCAACTATACCCTATCCTAGCATCTTACTTTACTCTGTCATAGCAAATTTTTTACTGCAAGTGTACAAGATACTTGGATTTGATTCTTCTTTAATAAAAACTGAGCATGCTTCTTAAGATTGATTTTCATAGTGAATATCAAGAAGCAGGCTATTTGAAATTTAATCAGTTTAGATTCTTCGGGGAGGAGTTTTGGGACCTCTATATATCCTTTTCGAAAATAATCTTCTCAACCGATCATGATGAGCATGACCTCCTTACTCATCGTTCTAACTACTTTTAAATAGCCTAGGATTCGTAGGATCAATGATATCCTCAACTAAAACTACCATTTCTTAGGGTTTATGGGGTACGTAATTACTATATGGATTATTTTTACTTCTTTAAGATACTCTAGAAAATGTTTCTTTAAGCTTCAGATTATTGATAAAGTTTTCTTATTCTTGCTGATTCACATTAGCTACTATCACTTTTGAATGTCTGGTGAAAGAACCAACAGTAAGACTTTTGTTTTTAATTGAAGCATACTTACCATTCTTCACGCTCTCTGTTTTCTACTGAAGCAGCTATAATTCGGATTAGTTGAATTCTATTTGAATTTTGGAATCAGTATCTTTAGGGTTGTCAAGCTATATAATATTTTAAGGATCTCTACAGCAATATGTCGAATTTTGTGATCCCATTAATTTAAAAAGACTGATGATAATTTTATTGTATTATAATTAATTAGAACAATAATATTTTACGTATCAAACAACCTTATTCTTCACTTTCCACCTCTTCCTCTGATGCCTCTGCCCATTTGTGGTCTGGGTCTGCCTTATTGTGAAGTGCCTTGGAGTCTTCCTGCAGCTTCAGCTTATTATTATTCGCTCTTGGGGTTTTTAATTGTTTGATCTACTGACAAAATGGTACATGCTGCCTCAGTAGCAGCGCTGATTACGTTAATTCTAACAAGTTCTGGTTCCCAGACAAACTCTTTGTACATGTTGGCGCATCTTCCGTTGATGACATCGACTCCGAACCAGATTCCATCTTCAGCGTCTTGAGTGTGCTTTTGTCTTAATTTATTTAATACATCAGTTGAGTCCATTCCTGAGTTTTCAGCAAGGGTCTTTGGAATAATTTCAAGGGCCTTAGCGAAACCATTGATGACAAGTTGTTGTTTGCCACTGATTGATCTAAGGTACTCTCTCAAGAATCTAGAGAGTTCCATTTCGATGGCACCACCTCCAGCAACAACAGCGTTGGCCTTGACGGCTCTTCTGACGATCATGATAGCATCATTCAATGATCTCTCTGCTTCTTCGATGTATTGATCAGCACCTCCTCTTAGGACAATAGTGCATGATTTAGTTCCAATACATTGAGTGAAGAAGTTGTATCTTTCATTACCTAATTGTTTCTCTTCGAAAACACCACAGGTTCCTAGGACATCATCAGTGAGTCCGTTGACAGTTGTTTGGACAACACCACCAGTGGATTTAGCAAGTCTCAAAAGATCATCATTTGGAACTCTACCAGCACAGAAAAGACCTCTATCAGCGAAGTATTGGGTAGCAAGATCACCGATTGGGAGCTTTGAAAGGATGACTTGGGAGCCTGAAGCAATAATCTTCTCTAATTTTTCGTAGATGAGAGTCCATTCAGCATCAACGATCTTTTGATAGTCCTCTGGGCTGTCGAGTCTGATTTCAGCGTTCTCCTTCTCTGACTTTAACTCTAATTCAAGATTTAAGAGGCAGATCTTGGGGTTAACGAATTTCTTTGGTTGTTGTTCAAAACCAGCATATGAGAAGGTCTTCTTGAAGGCGACACCCTCAACGAGGAAAGAGTCAGTGACTGAACCACCTGTGACTTTCTTGATACCAATGAAACTCTTATCGAGGTCTGATTCAAGAATTTCGACAGCTTGGACGACCATTTCTGAGAAGAATTCTTTGTACTTAGAGATAATCTTGGAGTTGAGAGAAGTTTGAGCGCACTTCTTAAGAATATCGCGTCTGCCCTCTTCCTCAGCAATCTTGATTGAGCATTCTCTAATTCTATCAATTGATTTAGTCATGGCTTCTCTGTAACCCTTAATGATGACTGATGGGTGCATGCCTTCCTCGATGAATTGCTTGCTCTGGTTCAAAAGCTCTCCAGCGAAGAGAACAACACTAGTGGTTCCATCACCAACTTCATTATCTTGTGACTTGGCAATATCAACTAGAGTCTTGGCGGCAGGATGCACAATATCTAAGAGTTGAATAATAGTAGCGCCATCATTTGAGATTGTCACGCTTCTTTGTTGATGGATCAATTTATCCATACCTCTTGGTCCTAATCGATAATTATATAAGATTTATGCTAAACATACCAAGAGTGGTCTTGACAACGTCGACGATTGACTGACAGGCGTTAATGTTTGAAATGATTTGTGGCTTGCCTTGAGAGTCTTCAGTACCCTCTCTTAAGATCACAATGCTGGGATTCTATAAAAATGAAAATTAGTTATTCCGTTTCGGCAAAATATTTCAATCAAGCAAGCACCTCAGACTATTTGGCAGTCATGCAAGATACCATAATAGGGTCAGGTGACTGATGGTTTGCTGTGTGATTATTTTTAAACTTACAAGCAAATAACTCATATTTAAATCTTTTGAATATATATTATAATCTTTCCTATATAATTACTTTTTAGTGATACTCCCGGGGTTTTGGGGTTTTGGGGTTTTGGGG